TTCAAGACCCATCTTGGCTCTGAGGATGCCCTCTATTACTTTAAGTTCCATCCTCTACAGAGGACTGAGCGGAGCAGAGCAGCTGGACCAGGAGGCTGAGGAAGGGACCTGTACAACAACACTGCTCCCACCTTTGCCTTCTGTAGGTAACAGAGGCTGCCTCCCCTTTGGTCAGCCACAAGCAAATCCACACTCCCTCTTCCCAACTCTGACTCAGGAAAAGAGAGGCATTGGCCAATTAACGAGGGGGAATTTCTCTGTGAGGGCTCTGGAAAAGGAATCCTTCTGACCGTACGTCTTCATACCACACTCTTGTTGTTAACAGTCATCCTTAAAAATTTTTCTGTCATGAAGAAGAAACACCATAACAAGAATAATGGAATCATTATTCATACACCTAAGGGTCTCCACTGTATTCATTTTCATCAACTGGTGGCCACTCATTAACTCTGAAAGTGACCAGGCTACACATGTGTAAGGAGTTAAAATGGTTAAGTGCTGGACTCTAACCAAAAGGTTGGCAGTTCAAACCCACCCAGTGGTGCCTCAGAAGACAGGCCTAGCAATTGTCTTCTGAAAGATCACAGCCTTGAAAACCCTATGGAGCAGTTCTACTCTGCACACATGAAATTGACTCCACTGGCAACTAACAACAACATCAAAATATGTTGTGTTAGTTATCTCGTGCTGCTATGAAAGAAATACTACAAGCAGATGGCTTTAACAAACAGAAGTTTATTCTCTCACAGTCTAGTATGCTAGAAGTCTGAATTCAGGATGCTAGCTCCAGGGGAAGGCTTTCTCTCTCTGTCGGCTCTGGGGGAAGGTCCTTGTCATCAGTCTTCCCCAGTTGAGGAGTTTCTCAGTGCAGGAACCCCGGGTCCAAAGGATGTGCTATTCTCCTGGCTTTTGTTTCTTGGTGGTATGAGGTCTCCCTGTCTCTTTGCTCGCTTCTCTCTTTTATATTTCAAAAGAGATTGACTTAAGACACAACCTAATCTTGAAGATTGAGTCCTGCCTCATTAACATAAGTGCCGCTAATCCCACCTCATTAACATCATAGAGGTAGGATTTACAACACATAGGATAATCACATCAGATCACAAAATGGTGGACAATCATACAATACTGGGACTCATGGACTAGCCAGGTTGACACACATTTTGGGGAGGGAGGACACAATTCAATCCATAACACGTGTGTAAATCGGGATCATTTACAACAGTGATATTTATGTGCTTTGTTTCTTTTTAATAATTTTGTTCTCTAAAAAAGCTAGGGGGAGAAAACAGAAGTTTCAAAATCCTTGGAAGCTTTTATCCATTTGGAAGAAATTTTATATCTCAAAATCACTCTGTGACTTAAATTGCTTCCAAAATATTTTGCCCCCAAATGCCCAGTATTTTTAAAACGAAAAGATCCATTGGTCCATCAAACCACTTTCATGAAAGGTACAGTCTATAATCTTATCTACCTACATCCCAGCAAAACAAGTTTGCCAAATAAGATACAGGACACCAAATCAAATTTGTATTTCAGATAAACAACAGAAAACTTTTTAGTATAACAAGGTCTCAACTATAATATAAATTTGATATAGGAATGTCTCAAAAGTATGCATAAGACATACTTATGCTAAAATACCACTCATTGTTTATCTGCAATTCCAATTTAACTGAGCATCCTGTACTTTCACTTGCTAAATCTGCCAGCCTCAGCCCAAAAGGAAAAATCTGAACCTCTCACAGTCCCCATTACCACTCACCACCCTGATCATCTTCATTCCATTTCTGATTTAAGCCTGGTCTTCAAGAATAAATGGGAATATTATTCAATGGTGAGAAACAAAATTTAAGTTGGTACGGATGAGGATTGAAAAATACAATCCCTGTGGACTAGGTAAATAGGGAACTAGGCAACTTTTATGAAATCTAGATATGCAAACTAGATCATGAACATGCTCATTTTCAAAAGTTTGTACCGTAATTAATGTATATAAACATTGCACAATTGAAATCCAGACGTTTTGAATGCTTAAACCAAAAGAAATAAGGCATTTTACAAATTCTTAAAACCAGTTAAGAGCTAGGGAGACCTGGTTACATTTTATTTTGGTATTTGTATCAATTTGGTGTGATTGCTTAACTTTGGCTCATTCCTTGTCTCTTTCTCTCTCTGTCTGTCTGACTCTCTCTTTCTATGTCTCCACCCTTTTCCTCCTCCCTCCCTCTCTCTTTCTTCCTCTAGTTACCTGAACAAGAATAAACACCTGACGGTTATTGACAAGGATGCATTTGGAGGAGTATACAGTGGACCAACCTTGCTGTGAGTAAGACATAAAGAGAATATGTCTTTTCTTTTTTTTCTTTTGGAAGGGAGAGGAGGATTAAAAAGGGCAGCTGGTGTTCATGGTAGGGAATCTTGTTGTCTTAGATAAAGGCTCCTTCTGATGCTTTTCTGCCCGGCTATTCAGGCTACTCCTTGGAAGAAAGTCCATGTTCTTTGAGACTCAGAAGGCCCTATGCTCCAACATGTCATCCTGATGTCTTATCAGGTAGCCACCTCAGTGTGGACATTCATAGAGGCTCTCTCTTGGAAAAATAAGACACTTTATGTGCAGCCACTACCCCTCTGTCAGTGGAGGCTTGTATGTGGCTGTGATGCTGAACAGGTTTCAGCAGAGCTTCCAGACTAAAGATGCACAAGGAAGAAAGGCTTGGCGATCTGATTCCAAAAATCACCCAGTGAAAACCCTATGGATCACAGTAGTCTGATGTGAAACCGATCATGGGGATGGTACAGAACTGGTCAGTGTTTCATTTAATTGTGCATGGAGTTGCCATGAGTTGGGGGCCAACTAGATCAGAGCAGGATGGAAGACTCCAAGACGAAGATCTAGAAATAAAATGCCATCGACAGATTATCTGACAGGTTTGACCGTGTGAAAACTGGTTTGAGATGTGATGTATGTGGGAAGACTTAGCAAGAGATCCATTCAAACCAAATCATGCGAATAAAAAAGAGAGACAGACACACAGGTCATGAAGAAACAAAAAAGCTATACATGAAAGGAAGTGAACCCGCAACACATATTTGGCCTAGCAGCGAACAGTAGAGTTGTAATAACCAAAATACTGAATGTGGATTTAACAAGTGTGTGTGTCCTAAAACTATTTCAAGAGGGTGAAGGAGTGTCAGGAAGGGAAATGTATGTATGTGTGGGGTGACAAAAGAGAGCTAAATCCTCAGCTTCCATAGTAGAGAGCCAATGGGTGAAATCTAAAACTGATAAATCAAGAAATATTTACAATTATGCAAGGAAATTCCATAAGTTGAAAGTGGTGGCCTCTGGGCCATCAGAAACCAGACTGTGGGGAGGGGCTAGACACAGGCCTGCTGTTTGTGTTATAAAGTTTCCAGTGTACTTTGTGTTTTGAAGTAAGTCCATGTATTATTTTAATAAAAAATAAAATTTAATTTAAAAAGAAAGTGAGGAAAAAAGAGATGTCAGCCTTTGAGAGGCCAGTGGAAGGAAAGAAAGAAATGAGGAAGGAAGAGTCCAGTGTCATCCCTCACATTCCAAGCACAGCTGTTGCCTTAACATGCATTTGTTAATCATGCCTAGCCTTGTGACATTGCTTTCTCATCCTGAACTCTCCTCAAATTCTTCTTACTTTATTTCCCACATTATCTTCTCCCCAGAACTAGAT